AGAGAGAGAGAGAGAGAGAGAGAGAGAGAAAGAGAGAGAGATGTGGGGGGAGGAGTATACTTACTACAGTACAAACATGGAGGTCAGAGAACCAGTTTGTGAAATTGGTTCTCTCTCTTCACCTTTGTGTTGATTCCTGGGATGGAACACAGGTTGTCAGATTTGCATGGCCAGTACCTTTCCTTGCTGAGATACCTTTCTGGCCCTAAAAATTCTTTTGAAAGATATTATTTAGTTTGACTAATACTGAAGAATCACAAGTTATAAAATATTAATGTTCAGTTTTATCTAAAATAACAGATCAATAATAGTTGCATTAGATAAATCATAGTTGTTCTGTTCATGTCATGGCATAGTAGAAAGCATGAGAACTTGATAATTGATGCACTTTTGACTACTTTGGTGACTGTCACCCATGCCTTAAAGAAAAGATGACAGTAAAAAATATAGAGACACATGCTCCACTTGGCTTTTCTTGACTCAAGTCCTGTGAGTCATGCACAGGATTTTGATGAGGCTGAGGTCCCAGTCAAACTTACATGGAAGCCTGGGCTGAGATAATCTGTCCATCTTCTTGCAGGTTGTCACCAGGGTAAACATGTCTCTTTAGTATGATGCTACTGGTTTTGTTGTTGTTTGTAATTCTCCTTGTATTTAAATAAAGGCTTATTTTTAAAGTGGCATAGTTTTATAAATACATTGAATTATAAAATTTCAATGGCTTCCTAACATTTTCTTTAAATTTTTAAAATTTAATCAATTGATTTGTACACATGTGCATGTGTGGAGGTCAGAAGACAACTTGGGGAAGTTGTTTTTTTCCATCATGTTGGTCCTTTGAATTAAACTTAGGTCATTGGGTTTGGTGGCAAGTACCTTTACCTGCTAAGAACCTAGGCATCCTAGCATCCCATTTTCCCAGATTCAAATAGTAATAGTATTTGTCATACTGGTTTAATATTATTTTTTAATTGTATGAGATTTTAAATTTGATATAGTAATATCACTTTTTAATTCCATAAGTTTATTGTAGATTCATAAAATGTCAGGTTTTTGCTTTTCATGACTTACCAAAATTTTGCTGAGTGTTTTTCATACATGTACTCTGCAGTCTTCACTAAAGGAAATGAAAACATAATCTCCCTTCAGAAACTGTATACAGTAGAGTAGAGTCTATAGTACACTTCATAAATAGTGTTAGCCTATAGTATGTAAAAAATGGCATAGCCAGGGATAATGCACTGTATTAAATATGTAAGGTCTTATCTACATGGGTTTGATTACAAAAACTAATAAGGTATTCTCTAAATAAAAAAATGGCATAGCATTTCTATGCTGTATTCATACAAAAGTAGCTGGTCAGCAAGAGGGTCATGTCTCATCTGGGCTTTAAAAAAATACATAGATTGCTAAAGCAAAAAATGACTTTCCAGACCGTAGGGTAAGCAGAACAGTCATTTGTCCTACCTCTAATTTCAAAACTCTGTTGTTTAGACAGGGTGAAACTGATAATCTGTGTAATTTCTCATTCTAGGGCACTGGAGTTGGCTGTGAAATACAAAACCCATGTTGATACAGTTCTTGCTTATCGTCAAAAATTTTTGGAGACATTTGGTAAACAGGAAACTAATAAACGATATTTGCAATATGCAGAAGGTGTAAGTATTGAACCGTGTTTTATAGTAGTATGTATGCTTTAAATAAAACAGTAGTTTTATGACAAAAGCTGCATGATTCATACTCTAATTTCTAAAGTCATTATTTTTTTCTCTTGTCATTTTATTTTGTGACTTTGATTGTAGTCTTACTTTTTCCTAAGCTCTTGGTTGCTTTTTGTTTATTTGTTAATGGGGTCTTACCCCGTAGTCTAAGCTAACTCGGAGCTCACTATCTAGTTCAAGATGGCATCTAACTTGATGGACCTTTTCTGCCTCAATTTCCTGAACAATTACAAGCATGAGTCTTCAGTCCTGGTGGTTTTTGTTTTTTTTCCTAGATGCTTTACACCACTCTCCTTTTTTATTGTAACTCACCTCAGTTTTTCCTGATAACTTGTCTTGAGGTTGTGTGTTATTTGATATTTTTAGATAGTGTAGATGTCTAAGAAGAAAGGTAGCTCTTAAATTTGTTTTCCTCATTTGAGAAAACACACACACAAAATACAGCCCTTCCTTCAGTGAACTTTTAGTTTATTTGTAAAATATTTTTTATTTTAAATTATGTATCTATGTGTATCTGTATGAGTTTGTGCTTGTGAGTGCAATGCCTGCAGAGGACTGAAGAGGGCATCAGATCCCCTGGAGCTGGCATTACAGGCAGCTGTGAGTGGTCCCACATGAGTGCTAGGAACCAAACTTACATCTTCTTCAAGAGTATCAGGTGCCACTGAGCCATCTCCAGCTCAAAATTACATTTTAAATAGCAAAAAATTAGCATCCTTATCTTCTTTTTCTTGGTCTATGTAATATTTAGCAATTGCTAAAGCTTAATACCTCAGTTGTAAGTGATAGCTCAGCCTGAGCAACAGGGTTTACTATGTGTTTCTTTCTTCACACTATGCAACAGGTTACTTTGATTCCCTTTGGTATTCTAGTCTGTTTTTCTTCCTCATAGATGCCGTTTGAAAGTTAACAAACACAACAACAAAATCACAAAACAGTAATTTTAAAAGAAAAAAAAATGTTACTTAAAACTTTCTGAGTATTGCTATTAAGGTTAACCCTAGAAAAGTAGCTTACATGACTGACATCTGCTTGCTGATGTATCATTTGGGTCTATAGACTTGTCATAATCTATCATCCATATTTATCTGTTTTGCTGAAATTATGGCCATATATACTATTTCAGAACTAGAACTGCCTAAGTATGTCATTAACAGCATGAGAAACCACCAATGGAAGGATAGTTTGGTTCTCTGCCCATTTTATACCAGAACACAGAATAGAAATTCTGCTTTACTGAAGACAATTTTTTTAAAAAAACATTTATTATTATTATTATTATTATTATTATTATTATTAATTGTGTGTGTGTTTGTGCAAGTGCTTGTACAAACCCCTGGAGCTGCAGTTGTGGATGGCTGTAGTCATGTGATGTGGGTGCTGGGAACTGAACTCCAATCTTCGCCAGTGCAGAAAGCTCTCTTATCTGCTGAGCCACCTCTCCATCCTCCTAAATTCACCTCTACGTGGCATCACCCATCAGCTTTCCTTCTGCCTCAGGCTAACCTCATGCCTGATTGCCTTTTATTCTCTGTTAAGCAGCCCATCTTTACTAAGAGTAGGCAAGCTGGGTGCTGGATAGAGCCATTAGATACGGATTTTTAAATGCTTTTATATGACTAAGAATTGACTAGGGCTCAAAATGAGAAGTTCCAAATAATTTGCACTTCCTACAGTAGAAAGAATGGCTTTTGATGTAAAAGTCACTTGCAACTGTCTGAGAACAAGCACCTTTTTCTAGAACACACTGTTAATAATATTCTTATTTAGAACTAAATTATCTGTAGAACACAGTCCTAGAACTGTGAAATGAAGCAGTCGGCTTCTGCAGGAGACAATCCATGGATGCACTTCGTTTACATTTCAACAAGTACACCTAATAATGGCATGTGTTCAGTTGACCGACTGACTGCTACTGCCACACTGCAACAGGTGTGAGGGCATAGTTGTATTGTCACTAACTAGAGAAACAAATGTAAGCTAATTTAAGCCTGGAAGAAGGCCACGGCAGTCAGTAAAGTTTTTCTTCCTCTTTTTTATAAATGTTTTGTTAGACGTGGAAATATGTGCATTGTCATTTAAAAATATCAAGTTGTGGCCTGATTGAAAGTCAGTCTTTCAATAATCTAATATTTGCTCTGCTTTTTAGCGGCTGTCATTTGATTCTTAGTACAGACAGTTATCTTCGAGGCTAAAAGAAATTCTATTAATTATTAATCAGCCTATCTTATTTATTATAGATAAATATGTGCAATTATTTTTAAGGTCATCAAAATATCAACAAATTACTTATTGGAAATTTAGACATAGCATATTGGAATAAAAAAGAACCAAATGATTCAATCCACTACTAGCATGAAGGTAGGCAGTTCAACTAAGATTAAGCTAATTTCCAAGTTTCTTCACATGAATCTGTTTAGGCAGCAGGAACTGCTTTGGTCTGGTTTCATGCTGTTTTCACCTATGTGGACATAAAAGCCTCTTCATTTCTGACCCCAAGTCTTAGAGCTTTGGGTCCATTTCATAATTTAAGCTTAGTCTAGGACCCAATTTTTCCCAAGGCTTGCCTCAGAGGACACACATTCCTAAATTAATGATTTCCAGATTTGTTTAACAGTAGATTCCTGAAGAAATAAATATTTCTAAAGAAATTGCTCGTAGCACTCAGGGGCAGAGGAGACCTTTCCCAGCGTCAAGTCTAAGGATCTTAGAAAGGGATAGATAAGTCTAGGGGGCTAGGGTAGACTTGCCCTCATCATAGGTAAAAGAAAATCAAACAGATATAAATCTTTTCTTATTTTCATGTGTCTCCCAGTCTTTCCTGTCCTCTGCTTCCTCTGATGGATTTCATCAGTTGGTGACTACTACATCCTTCTGTCACTTTAAGAGTAGTTGCAATGGAGCCATTTGTGAAACAACATTCCCTTGTCTTTTCTTGCATCTGGGCTCCTTCTGGGAAACTCACCTTATATGATGTCCAAAGCAGAGCTGATGCAAGCACAGCCTAGTTGCTGCCCTGCCCAGTTTGCTTTTGTTGGGAGCAGAGCAGAGAGCAGAGCAGAGCAAAGCGGCTTCTTGACATTGTTCCTAAGTTCTTGTGCAGAATCCTGAGGCTCTGTGGACTGTTTCCATGTGCTTTGTAAATAGCTGCACAGAATTTTGGTCTTCCCCATCACAGTATGAGTCTTCCTTGTGCTTTGGAATCGCTCTCTTGATCTTAAAGGGGGCTCATGGGTTTTCAGCATTACATCCCATTAACTTCTCATTAATACCGTCCCTCTCTCCATTTTGGAAGTAATATATTTTGTTAACTCTTGGTGACTTTGGATTAAATGAAACATAGGATATAAGCACGACTCTCTTTTCCTTTCTGTTGTAGCTCCAAATAGACTGGGAGAAAATCAAAGCCAAAATTGAGATGGAAATTACTAAAGAACGTGACCGATCAACCAGCAGCCACTCTGTCAAGAACTTGGGCTTAAAGCACTAAATGCCACACTGACCTCTAAACTAGTTCAGAGTAACCAAAGATGTGCATGTTTTGTTTGCTTTTAAAAAAAAAAAAAAAGGCATGATTTTAACACTAGTGTTGTCTCTGAATGGTAGAGTACTTGCCTAGCATGCATGAGGCCCTGGGTTTGATCCCCAGCACTGTCAAAAGAAAAAGGCATTATCTTTAAAATATTGTATGCACTTTCTGTGTATGTAATACTAAAGGTACATTCAGGAAGACTAAGCACAAAATAATTGATATATTCCATCATTTATATTTTTCTAGTTTAATAATTAACAAAGTACTTGTATATGCTTATTTATGCCCGAGTTATGTTGATTACATTCCAGTTTTTTTTATTTCTTTATTCCTGATTCTTTAGTATAGTTATTGATGCTTATAATAAAGCCTGGAGTTATTTACAATGTATGTTATTGTTAGAAATTTGTTCTGTAAATTGTAAAGTATCTCCCATAGTTTATAAAATAAAAATACATAAGGATGGATTTAGGGAAATGTTACATCGCAGGCACTTGTATACCAAAGTTGATAGCATCATTCAAATAACAACAGCTGGGAACAACTGAGATGACCATCCACTGGCATTTCATAAAGCAATGTGGTATTCTCGTGCAGTGGAATTATTCCCTCCTGAAAGGATTGAACTGTGACACATGCAGCAACATAGATGTGCCTTGGGAAACTTATTCTAAGTGAAGTGAACAGACCGCAGAAGTCAGTCCTGAGATTGTGCTTACATGAGGCACCTAGAATAAACAAGTTCTTCCAGGCAGAAAAGAGAGGAGAAGAACAGGGAATGAGAAGATTGGAGTTTTATTGTGTAATGTTCAGAGTTTCTTTTTGGAGTAAGTTCTAGAAATGGATAATGATGATGGTTGCATAACATTGTGGATGTTAATGAAACCCAACTGTCCTCTTAAAAAGAATTAAAATGATACATTTTATTTTATTTTATTTTTTTTAACCATATTGAGAAAGAGATGGGCAAATTCTCTTTTCTTTATTCCTCTCTTGACTTGAGAGTGTCTGAGCTCTTAAGACCTAGAGTCTGAGTTTTCAAAACTGGCCCCCTCAGTGGGTAAAGCTGTTTGGCTGGCCTTAATCTAGTATAATTCCAAATTACTGTCCACCAAAGCTTTTTAACAGTGACACGGACATCCCTCTAAAGTGTCTCTGCACCTGTTCTTCCAGTCGATGCATTATGGAGCTCACGCACACTCAACCTGGAAACATTGCCTCTTCCCCTCCATTGTAATTTCTCATGTAGGTTTCCTTCCCAATATATTCCTTTTCTTTTATGAAATGTTGAACTGTTTAATTCTTGGTCCAGAATTTGGATACAAGAGTGTGTTCATTTCATGAAATCTGAGGAATTTACTTATATGTTATACATGTTTTCTACATTGTTAAATTTCATTGTAATGTTTAAAAGGAAAAAAATGGTTAAAAGGTTAAATTTTATGTTTAGTATATTTTACCACAATAAAAAAGTAAAAAAAAAAATGAAGTATGTCTGTATTCTGTGATATTTTACAATTAATTCAGTTTTGACACAGACTACCTAGAGTTAGCAATAGACACCACAAAGGCCATGGACCACAGCTGAATTGCCTTAAGTTTCAGAGTCCCCAGACTGCCTGCCCTTGTGTCTGACATGGCTATACATCTGGGGTTCCCATAAGTCCCTCTATTTCAAGTTTGATAATTCAATAGTTTTTTGTAGAACTCACTGGAAGTCTTAATTTATTTAGAAGGATAAATGGAAATGTAAACAGGCACAAAGTTGAGGCACATGGAGCACCGCCTGGGGAAAAGGAAGATCACAACAGAATTTCCACACACTGATCTTGTTGAATTCAGGAGACTGACCAGCTGCCCCACCCATGAATGTGCTCAACAGGAAGCTTCTTCCCCAAGTCTTGATGTCTTAGGGTTTTCTGTTTTGTTTTTAAATCAAAGTTTGATTACATATGCATAATTGATTAAAACATTGGCTTTTGTCTTAGTGTTTCTATCCCTGTGATCAAACACCATGACCAAAAGCAATTTGGGAAGAAAAGGGTTTATTTCAGTTTCATTTCATATCACAGTCCATCATTGAAGGAAGTCTTGTCAGGAACTCAAACAGGGCAGGAACTTGGAAACTGGAACTAATGTGGTGTTGTTGCTTACTGGCTTATAGTAGCCCAGAACTAATTCCTCCCCAGAGGTTGTACCACTCACAATGGGCTGGGCCCTCCCATGTCAATCACTGATTAAGAAAATGCTCTACAGGCTTGCCAACAGGTGAATCTTATGGAGGCATTTTCTCAATTGAGACTCTCTCTTTCCAAATAACTCTAACTTATGTCAAGTTGACATTATAAACTAGCCAGGACAGCCATGCAGTTGAACTTTGTCTCTAGGACCCCACCTACTTCTTCCCTGTGGTTGGTTTTTCTGGCAACCACACCCTGTCTAGATTCCTTTCCCAGAAGTCACCCCGTTTATTATAGTAGATACCCTATTTTCAGGACAGTTCTGGAACTTGGGAAATTCTGTGCCAATTACCCTCCTTTTTCAAACCCCCAAAGCTCAGGTAGATTCTTTATTATAGGCAACCCCCTGGTCTTTGACACACTATCTTTTAAAGTTAAAAAAAAAAAAAACCAACAACAACAAAAAATTCATACCCTGCAGAGCATAGCAAAAACATTTGTAATTTCTCAGTGCAGCTGGAAACACTGATATTGGACTCTTCACCAACCAGGCCAGCATGCATCACCAATTGTATATAAATGTACTTAAAGGAAGATGCTGGTGTATTACATCTAGTCTCTGTTAGTATGGACCTTTATCATTTTAATGTCCAGCCTACCTCACAGATAGATTCCCTCGGGTTTGCAAGCATCAGTTAGGTCTTGTCAACTTCCAAAATGAGGAGAGGTCTTAGCAACACATGTGTCACCCCTTCAGTTATCAGGTATAACTAAGACACTATCATGTCCTCCTCTAAGCCTCCTTTGAAGCATTAATATAATCTTGGCATTCTCAATTTAATCTAATGATTCATCCCTGTATCCTTAAGTACCAATATTGCTTCTCTATATCATACATTTTCACACTTTTGGAAATGGCATTGACCATCGTGCTGATCTAGATTATAAACGGTACTGGTCTTTCAAGTACTTCTCCCGCTCTTTCCCCTCTCCAGCCTGGCTGTATAGGATTGGCTTAGTCTCGGAGAGTTGATGAAGAATAGGCCTTAATCAGTCTTCGAATGTGTTTGGTAGAACACACCAGTAAAGTCATATTGACAAACTTTGTGGGGACCTTGGTCCCGTACCCACCAGGAGAGGAAGAGATTCCTTCTACACCCACTGGAAGAAGCGATAGGAAGAAGACAATATAAAAATAAATTCAACAACAGAAAAATCAATATGACACAACCAGAGTCTAGGAACCCTACACCAGCAAGACCTGAGCATCACAAAGCAGATGAAGCAGAAGAGAATGACCTTAAAAACATCTTCATGAAAATGATAGATGGCCTCAAAGAGGATATGACAAGTACTTCTCCCTCAGTCTACTCCATACAGTGTAAGATTACATTAAATATAGAATTATAGTGCTATATCTATCAATAAACAACACAATACTGGTTAACCTATAGAGTGCCATGGCTTGAATGTCTTCTTCAAATCTCGTGTTGAAATTTAATTGGTACAGTGAAGGTATTAGGAGATAGGACCTTTAAGAAGTGTTTAAGGAATGAGGACCCCACCCTCAACAAATACACTGGTGCCTTAACAAGAGAGTGGAGTTGTTAGAAAAGTGTTCTCCCATAACACAGATGTGTGTTTCTTTGCTGAGCAAGGAATCTCTCCATATAGAATGGGCTCCACTGAGTCAGTTTGTGTATTAGTGTTAGATCTTGGACCCACTGCCAGTGGCTTCATATGTTGCCCAAGTCACACCGGTGTCACCTATATAAAAGGAGTCTAGTTTAGTATCATGCAGGTTCCCCATTTGTCAGACCTGAGTCTGTGGTCTCTCACTAGCTCAGGTCAGCTGATTCTATGGGTTTCCCCATCATGGTCTTGACTCCTTTGTTCATAATATTGCTACTCCCTCACTTCAGTTGTACTCCAGGAGCTTGGCCCATTGGTTAGTTGTGGATTTCTGCATCTGCTTCCATCTGTTTCTGGAAGAGGGTCCTAGCTTCTCTGGGGTTGTGGATTGTAGGCTGAATATCTTTTGCTTTATGTCTGGTATCCGCTTATGAGTGACTACACACTATATTTATCTTTCTGGTTTTATATATGTGCTTCTTACTTTGCACCTCCTTACATATCCAAATGAGCCGTCTTCTTTAATGCTGAGTCTGCTACTAGCTCTCAATTCTATTGGTAAAATTACATTGTACCTTTATCAGCTGGTTGTAGCACAGTTACAGTTTCATATCATGGATGACTAGTTTCCACCTATGGTTTCATATGTAGAAATTTAATCCCTACTGTTTGGTATAGCCAGTGATTATGTGCTATGGTTTGAAGGTCCCCAGAAGCTTCATGCATTGAAAATTAACCTCCATTGCTAGGTATTTAGAGGGTGAAAACAACCTAGCTGGCATTTACAGATGGACCTGGGAGGTAGGGTTAGATAAAATCACTAACATGGCATCTTGGTGATGGGGGTCCTTGATAAGAAGAGGGGCAAAGACTAGAGGACAAACACATACATGCACACTCCCTATCGTATGCTGTGTAATGTTCTGTATGCCTTGGGGTTCACCCAGCAGGAGGACCATTGCCAACTGAGAGCCCCAGAGCCTCCAAGACTGGGAGCTGAGTAAAGCAGGCTGGTCAGGTGATTAGCAACAGAAAGTGGACTAATATGGTAACCATCCAGAAACAAAGGCTCCTCCAGCTGTCTGAATTCAGCTTTTCTCTTTGCCATTGGTATTATTATGAATCAGAACCACTCAAGCAAGTCTTGTCACGGCACAAATGTGTTCTAACCACAATTTTCTGGCCCCAGCTGCTGTCCTACACCTCAATTTTGAAATGAACTATTGATGAATTAGTG